ATAGGAAGAAACTCATTGTCCCTTTGGTAGTTATTAAGTACTCTTCTTTTTAAAAAATATTTATTTGTTTGGCCACATTGGTTCTTAGTGGCAGCATGCAGCAAACACTTCTTTCTCTTTGTGGGTTGCAGGCTTAGTTGCCCTATGGCATGTGGGATCTTAGTTTCCTGACCAGAAATCAACCCCCTGTCTCCTGCATTGGGAGATAGGCTTTTAACCACTGGACCACCAGGGAAGCTCCAAGTGTTCTTCTTCTTGATGCATTTCTTCTGTGAGGTGAAGGTGAAGCACAGCAGTGTGAATCTGGAAGAGTGAACTGGGGGGAAACTGTACCTTATCTCTGGTTTAATTTGGTAATTAAGTTGATAATTGGTAACCTAGTTGGTAATTGTCCTGGGGGCAGGATTTTAGCAGTTGATCAGGGCAGAATCTTGGTTGCCTAGAAAAGAGACAGTAGAAAAGTCATTCTTCTACAGTGTTAGCAACTTTGTCTTCTAGACTGGGGATAAGATGGGAATTAGAAATGTTATGCTTTTCTTTTTCCTGCTTGTCCAAATCTGTCTTCTACATTTATCTCCTAAGATTTTTGCTCGCCTTGGATACAGACCCATGGCTGATCAGGGACTGTACTGTGCTGGAGATTTGTTGGGGGTGAATGGGCCTGTGTGGTTTTTCACCCTCTTAGCTTCCCAGAAGTACCAAAAAATTCTGGAACTGCAACTATTCAGTTAAGTTCAGGAACTTGACTCACTGGGAGTCTTTTTAAAGTAGTTCAGGTTCAGGAAATTCAGGCACACGTTCAGAGAGCTGAATTGCTGTGCTGGATTAGATTTGGGGAACTTTCAGTGATATATGACTATCATGAACACTTTGAAGAGCCTGTCATCTCTGTGCCAATACCAGATACGTAGCAGAGACATTCCATAGTTAGCCCCTTATCAAAGATGGCACATGCCTATCTTTCTGATTAAGGAGAACTCATGCTCTTTTGAGTAAACCAATGAAAGAAAAGCTTCAAAATGATACACAAACCCTGTGATAAATGGGCTAGTCAAAGGAGGAAGTGTGGTTGACTAAAAAGGGAGTTTAGGCAGAAAGAGACTGCTTGGCAGGGAAGAATTGATTCACTAGACTGGTTCTGCTACCAGACTCTCCTGTTCTGATGTCTAAGACTTAGGGTGATGCCAATAGAAATAGAGTGGTTCTCATATAGACTCTGCAAGAAGTTGGAAATAGAGGGATATTCAGAAAGTCAACAAGAGAAAGTATAGCAGTAGGGTGTGTGTGTGTAGTGTGCGTGTAGGGGCCGAGGGGCAGAGTCGGTGGTATAGTAGATTAAAGATGACTTCCAGTTTTCTTTCTTTCTTTTCTTTCCTCCCAACTATTTCCCCCATCAAGAAGTAGAATATATTTCCCCTCCCTTTAGGTTTTACCAATAGAATGCTGGAGAAGTGATGGTATATAACTTTGGAGATCAGGCCTTAAGAGATCTATAGCTTTTCCTTTCACTTTTCTTGGAAATCACTCACCATGTTGAGTAAGCCCAAGAAACCACAGAGTAAGACCTGCTGGAGGGAAACCAAAGCCTCCAGCCTCCAACCCTAACGGAGCTGCAGCCTGCACAGCCAGCGCTAACCACCAGCCATAGTGAACGAGGTCATTTTTGATCTTCTAGCATCCTCATGTCCCACTGAGGGCACCCCATGAAGCAAAAAAAGATGCTCAGTCAATCCACAGGAACAGGAGAAATAATAAGTCCTTGTTTGAAAACCACCAAGTTTTGGGGTGGTCTGTTACATAGTCATATATAACTAAAACATGTGGAATCTCCACGCTTTAGAAAGGATGGCTTAACTGGGACGCAGCTTTGGTCGGGAGAGAAGGGGACAGCCCCTGGAAGCCACACCTGCGGTAAGAGGTAGTGCTGGAAGTGGGAAGGCACTCCCATAAGGTGAGCAGGGAAGGAGGAAAAATGATGATGACCAAGTGGTGGCAGATAGTCTTAGTCTGGCATACATGGGCGATGTATCTGAAGAACACCTAGAAAGATTTGGGGGAGATTTTTTTGAGAGTGAAAGTGAGATCTTTAAGTTTTACAAAAGCATGAACCCCAGAATGCCAATATAAATGGATTTTTGTTATTAATCTATAATCTTGATGTTAGCTTGGACTTTCTTTCTCCTTGAGATCTGGATAAGATTTGGTTGATCTGTGAAAGACTAAAAGAGTCCCCAGGATTACTATGGATTTCTAGGGAAATTTTCTCTTCCTTAGCCCTAACTCTAAACTCTGGCTTCTTTTTATGGGTGGTCTCACTGTCCTCTTTATGCTTTTTCTGTTTCACATATTATCAACCTAAACACTAAATCTTCTCTTAATTTTCACAATTTCTATCCATAAAAGCATTTTTTTGTGTGTGTGTGATTAGTAGATATTAATAAGAAATTTTGGAGTCTGTGAAGAGTATTTTAAAGTGTATCAATATAAACTTCAAATTGAACCCAAGACCATCCTCACATTCTTTTTTGTTGTTGTTGAACCCTCACCAAGAGCTGCATTTTTGTTTTGTGTTTTGTTTTTGGCCATGAAGAGTGGAATGCGGGATCTTTGTTCCCTGACTGGGGATCGGGCCTATGTCCCCTGCAATGGAAATGCAGTCTTAACCACTAGACTGCCAGAGAAGTCTCCTGTCCTTATTCTTAAAAATACCTTTGCCCCAGCACTGGAGAGTTTTCACAAACAGTATCACTCCAAGTGCTGGCTGAACCTTATTCTATGTCATGATTCCTCTTTCGCTTACGTCTTTCAGTAACAAAACAAATTTCTCTCATCTTCTCGCATAGAATAGCTATCTATCTGTTTATTTTACTCACTGACTCACTCTCCAACCTGAGCTGCTTATCGAGATATTTACTCAGTAGATACGCTTGTCCTCTGAGGAACAATTATGATGTCAGTTGTTATAGTGATAACATTTCACTCTCCCATTTCCTATCCTACTAAAATGACTGCAGTTTCCTGCAAAGGTACGCCAGTGTTGTTCTTTCTCTTTCTCTCTTGAGTGTTGAGTGAAAGGAAATCAAACCTCATAAACCTGGGCTATACCCAACTCACTGCCTTGCCTCTCTTTGCTTCCTCTTAGAGGGTGGAGATTAGGTTCTCTTTAAGGTGTTGCTTTCTTTGTATAAACTCTTCATTGCCTAGGTGAGGAAGGAAGAATTTCTGAATCCACTCTCTGGGTGGGTGCCATTTTCAGTTTTGGGGAGATTTTTATGAGAGTGAAAATGAGATCTAGAGATTGCACAGTAAGGAATAGGCATAAACCAGAGAACTCCAGCCTATGCAGAATTTCTATTATTAGCCAATTGGAGACCCTCTTACACACGACAGTGATGTGTCAGAGATGGTGAGTGGTTTGTTTCACTTAGAAATCCATTCATTCATTCATTAAAATTTTTTTGGCATGAATTTATAGGAAACTTCTAAGGAAGTCAAACATTACTGAGACAGAATCTCTGGTTGAAAGAGCTTCTGATTCAGTAGGAGAAATAAAAGAACAAAATACCTACCCACTTTGGCAGTATTGATGTCCCCTTAGAAAAGGGAGCTCTAACTGAGTCAGTGCAATACAAGTTATTTGTGGTACAGTTCCTGTGGAATTACATTCCCTTTTTTGTACACTGGGCAAATGACTCTTCTCTCCCCTCCAGATTCTCTGAATCTATCACCTGCTGTGTTCCTTCAGCCCTGTTCATACAATTGTCTGATAGTCCTCTAAGGAGATGATGATGGTTTAGGCCCCTCAAAATGTCAAAGGATTCCCATCAGTCTCTTGCCTGCTGGATTCTACCCTCTTTTCTCATCTATGATCATTTTCTTGAAGAATTTTCAAGCTCCTACAAAACTTACCTTTTAACATCCACCATATGACTCTTCGTGTTTTTCTTTCTAGTACTATCATTTGCAGACATTTTCTCAGTTATTATGAGTCAAAATGGTTGCTCTATAAACCTAAAACAAATGGAGGAATTCCCTGGCAGTCCAGCAGTTAGGACTCAGCGGTTTCACATCTGTGGCCCAGGTTCAATCCCTGGATGGGGAACTAATATCCCACAAGCTGCATGGCCAAAAACAAAAACAAAAAGGCAAATGACAGAGATAGAGTATATGATGGATAAGCCACATTCACTGCAGAACACACTCAACTCTGGGAAGCACTGGCAGGATCCTTTTTGGTGGGGAGCATCTGCAATATGGTGCACTAACACCCAACGGCCAGGAGAGCAGGCATCAGACTTCCATGCTAGTTCTCATGAGCTGGTACTCAGGTCATAGGAAAGAGAGCTATAAGACTAGCACACTTAAACAGACTTTTTAAGCAGAGTTAACAAGTTACCTCCAGTAAAGAGAGCAGCAGTATGGTCTCATGGAGCTGCACTGGCTCTTAATAAAATGTTACAGGCTTCAAATTTCAGAAGCATTTTGGTGGGTACTTTTAGGAAGCAAGCTTGAATGTAGCTTTTCTTTCCTTGTCTTCTGGAAATATAGGAAATATTTATTTTTTATATTCTTAGAGTCTAGCACAGTACCTGGCAAATGGCTCAATAATAATTTGTTAACTGATTGGTTGAATGAGTGAATGAATCTATCAGTCAATCTAATAAAACTTTTCTGCTTTCTGATCCACTCCGTGTCTTCATTTAAGCATTTGTCTGTGAAGTTTAAAGTGTTTATATTCACATTATGGTGCATTTGCTTGTGTTGTTCAACACTCTAAAATCTATAACATGTTAGAGTGGAATTCTACTTTATTTAATAAATTACAAGGTAGATAAATAGGTATGTCAAAAAGATGTTTAGGATTTCTTTTAATAAATTAAGATAGAGGTTCTTAATGAGGTTAATAGAACAGTGCCAATCTGACTATCTCATTATTAGCTGGAAAACTTGAAACAGTTCAGATTTCTGGGTCTTACTTCTATATTTTTGAAAATTTCCTCAGATGATCCTGATACACAGTCAGGTTTGAGAACCACTGCCACATTCTTTAAGGTAAGATCAAAACTTTGAAAATCCTAGCTGTTGGCAGTTTTCCTGAATTAGATCATGTAGTACAGGCCCACTGAAAGCTACCAAGGTAGCTTTGGGAGGGAGGTACTGGTCTTTCTGAAAGTTATACTTCTTAATGCAAGCATTTGCCTAGTGCTTCTCTGGTCTTTTACCAACAATGTGTTTATTGTGTGTTCACAGTCTCTTTCTCTGAAGGCAAGTTGGCACCCATTATCTTGGGCTTTTGAGATAGTTCTTATTTCAAATAATCTTCCCTCTTATTCTCACGAGTATAGATGTGCTACTAGGATCCACACTTTGGAGATGGAGTTCCATGCTCACAGAGATTGTAAACCTGCCCAGTGACTTCAAGCTGGTGAGGGGAGCTCAAGGTCATGTTTGCCTCATTATACCCTTTGCCTCTCCGTTGTGACTGTAGACTAGGGGCTTATACTGACTCTGGAGCTCTGTATACATTCCTCTAGTCCTTGCGATAACCTTGCAAAGAAAATAGCCTCTGGAGTCCTCCATTTTGTGGATGGAGTTTTTCAAGAGTTCATTATCTCTAGTACATTGTTGCCACTCACATACTCTTTCCCACTCTGGCAAAGATTGCTCTGTGTTCACTTAACCCCATTGCCTTTTCCTCATGCATGCACACCCACACTGCATTTCCCAGTACCTGTTGTCATTAGATGTGACCATGTGATTGAGTTCTGGCCAATAGAATATGGGCAAAATTGATCACTCCACTTCCAACGTTAGCCCATTAAGAAGCCCCAGTATTATCCTTTGGGCCTTTTCTCTTTTCCCATCGGCAAGCTGAATGCAGCAGATGGGGAAAATAAAAACCTAGAAGATTCAGAAAAAACCTTGATTGTGTGGCTCCTTGTCAGAATTCTGTGGTGAGAAATAATTCTCACTGTATTAAGATGGCCATGAGCCTCCCCTGACTAATACATCTGCCCTGTCTTTGGTCCATAGCTTCTGCAGCTGTAATACCAATCTCTGACCTGAGAGACCCAGAGCAGTGGGCAAAGGGGAGCATTCTCTCAAAGGAGCTGCCAGGAGGGCAATGTGACATAAGGAAAAGCACTGGCTTGGACCTGGAAGAAATGGGTTCTCATTCTCACTGTTGGTCTAAGTGTGTGAACTCAACTGATTGCTGTCACAGCCAGAGAGTGTTCCCCTGTGAAATGAAAATAATGAGAGATGACATATATAAAAGAATCTGGTCATGATGCCTAATAAATCTAAGAACTCTTCAGAAATGTAGCAAGAGTTTGGCAGAAGCTGGGACTTCCCCGGTGGTCCAGTGTTTAAGAACCTGCGTGTGCAACTGCTGAAGCCTGCAAGCCACAACTAAAGAGTCTGTACTCAGCAACAGAAGATCTTGCATGATGCAATGAAGACCTTGTGTGTTGCAACTAAGACCCAATGAAGCCAAATAAGTAAATAAGTAAAGTTGCTAGAAACTGAAGGAAGTGTCAAAGAGGAAGACTTTGTATCAAGTCCAGAGAGTCAGAGGTACCCCCATGGTTATACTGGGCAACCTCCTGCATGACAGCTCTGTAGTGAGGGTTCTATGCATATTATGACATATTTGACCCTATGATGGCTCTAGTAGGCTTGTCTAAGTCACTTGCATCTGAATAACTTTTTGAGTCTTTTTTCCCCCTGCTTCTTTCTTGTTTCAGGGTAATGATAGAATGTCAGTTCAATGAGGAGAGGCCTGCCATCTTTTTACCTAATGTACATGGAGCACCTACCACAGGGCCTGGTACATTGCATGTGCTATATTTGTACAGGACATATTGTATTTGGCTCAATGACTGACTCATCTCAGAGGAACAAAAGGATGATTTGTTCTTTTACTTTTATCCTCACATCTTCTTCCTCTCTCCTGCAGGTGGAATGGTCAAGCCTGTATATTTAGACTTCTGGACAACTTTGCTTCTGGGGTCGTTTGATGACTTTTTGGTTCACCTTAAAAAAAGGGGGGGGGAATAAGAAATTGCCAGGTATTCAGAAGAAATTCCTCACCCAGTTTAGTACTTTGGTTTAAAGAAGTAGAACTGGCTTTGAGACGTAGATGGGAAGCTGGTAGTAAGTTCTTGCAGGTCTGTTGGCCCTATCCTACTCCCTGATAGAGCTCTGGTTAGACCAGAGCCTCTGATGGGGTTGGGGACAGGTGAATACCTCTGATCTGTACATAGAGTGCCAGACAGGGTGGCCAGTTCATCCTAATTTGTCCTGGTCTTTCCAGGTTTGAAAACTGAAAGCCTTGCATCCTGGAAACCCCTTCAGTCCTGGGTAAACCAGGACAATTGGTCACTACTGCCATGTTTCAGGATCTATCATCAGAGATCAACATGCCAAGCTCTTAGGGAAATTAAAATAGAGGAAGTCTTGTTCAGGCTTCAGAATCAGGAGAGCAGTCCTCTGACTGGATTCCTTGCCTGCCTACAAGCAGGCAAGTCAGGCAGCACTTTAAATAAGAAAGGGAGTGGGTTTTGGAATTCTTGAGCCCCTGGAGGTCTGGCCAACCCCAGGGTCTACTAAAATCCTATGAGTAACAAGGTGAAACAAATGGATTGCAGAAAGTTTAAAGTAAAACCAGAGGTACATTTTTGCACACAAACTGATAATATCAGTTTGCAGCCTGGGATTTTAAGTGAGAGCCCTCAAAACTGCAATTTGAAGTTTCACCCATGAGGTGGATGCACTGCCCAAGACCCTTTCCCAATTGGGACCCCAGATTACTGTTAACAAGGCACTTCCCAGTGCTGTTTAATTCGGCCCTGGATGTTGGTTGGCCCAATTTTGTGATGTATGTGCTGTTACTTCTCTCTGTTGTTTCTATTTCTTTTCTTTTAATGACTATATATTGAAATTAAGTCAAATAATCTTCTATAAAAAGTTGACATTGTTTATATGTGTAATGAGTGATTTCTTTTGTTAACAAATCCTTCAAACATAAAATGAAATTAAAACTTTAAGCAAAACACAAGCATAGCTGGAGGAAATGGAACCTTCCACATTCAATGGACCGTGAGGGCTCAGATGTTAAGAAGTCAATATGCTGAGATGAACTGAAGAACAGAGATCTTTCCCCTTTCCTCTGACTGCACCAGTCTTCTGAGATTCTGAATGTTCCTATGAAGGGGCAGCTCTTCCACTGATCTTTGTCTACCCTCACAGATGACAGAGAATTCATTTCTTGTTTGCTAGCAAACATACAGAAGGAGATTTAATTTGACTTGGAAAAGGAGGGCAACGTGATGTTTCTTATATCTTAGGAGATGAGCAAATACATGTTAGTTACCCAAGACTTGCCCAAAGGCCCAAAGCTAAAGAGTGTAGAATCACTACTTGAATAGAGCTCTATGTGGCTCAAATGTTGGTTTTCTTTCCATTCTACAGCACCTTAAGAGGTATTGAATGAAACACTGAATGAAAAGAAAAACAACAATTTGTCCCTTCAAGTGGACTTTTAGACATGCTCTCATACATAACTATCTTTTTCTTTGTTTCATCAGATTGATTCGATTTAGCCTCTATAGCACCAGTTTCCTTTTCTTTCCAGTACAAATTTCTCAGTCTGACATTCAAGACTACTGGCATTCGCTCTAGCCTACCAGCTTTCGCTCTAGCCTACCTTTTTGGAGGAACTGCCCATGACATCTTCCATGTATCCCGTGCCTCATCCAGGCAGGGCTCTCTCTTCGTGCTTTCCCCCTCTAAATGTCTTCTGCTGAGCCTATACCATGGAATGCTCTTTTCCCAACCTCCTTTATCAAGATCCTACTGTCCTTCAAATTCCCATGAAGACTTCCTTGATCCTTCCTTTCTGATATCCTGAGTTAAATATGCCCTCATTCAATTAGTGCCATAATAACTCATTCTGCTTACTAGAGGGTTCCTTGAAGGCAGATTATTTTTTTTTAATAATCTCCAAGATGACTTAGAACAGCAATCTGTACACAGTAGGCACTCTATACATATTTGTTGAAATGCAGTCCAGAGAACTAAAGGGAATTTAGATTTTCCCTGGTGTATGACTTAGAATTGGAACAAAAGCGACTTTGCTAGAGTATGTTTGAGAAAAACCAGGTAGGGAAAAAACAGTTAATAGAAACAGAAGTGAGAGAGTGAGGCCAGCAGCCCATTTCATTCTAAGAGTGTCCCCGAAAGTCTCAGAAGGAGCCAGAGATTGATCTCTCTGACCTTTCTCCAAGTGTCAGGACACACCTTCCTGTGGGTGGAAGCCTATCCAAGGCTCTGCTTCCAACCTGCAGTTAACCAGGGAAAGTAGTCAATCAGAGAATGCGCTGGATCTGACCTCCTGGCTGCTGAATTCACTGAGGTCTGAGCTTCAAAGTGCTGGGGATGTCAGTTATATAAAGTTGTATGGCATGTTCTTCTCTCCTGGGGTGAGGGGAGGGTACTGGGGGGAGGATGAGGGAAGGAGAACAGCTATCAGCCCAAGAGAACTGCTGCAAGAGCTAGGGTTCTGCCTTCCCTCACCACACACATCTCCTCCAAATGTGCCCTTGATGTTGCATTCTCCAACCCAAACAAAAAACCTGGAGAAAAAATGATTTTGTGGCTAGTTCTGTTTTCAATACCGTGGAACATTTGCCGGCATGGTGATCCATCACCAGACTTTTTTTTTTCAACCCTGCAAGATGGCCACTTGTCTTTTTAATCGGCATGTTTGCATCCATGTTGCTACTTACGTTCTCTCAAGGCCAAGTTTTCTTTCTTTTCCTTTTCCCCCGATTTTTGCCATCTGTACCATATTTCTTCAGAGTTTTTCTTCTCTAATCCCCTCTTTAGTGCCAGGAGAAGTCATACCAATAGGCTGGAGAGATTCCAAATCTTGATGCACAGAACTGGCTAAACAATCTCAACGACATCACACACATTCTGGAAATTTTGCTCTTTCATATTTGTAAGTGGGCATGTAGCATGCGCTATGTGAAAAGGTGGGGCTCAGGATTCATCAGAGACTCGTGAGCTACCTGCTCTTAGAACTGGATCAGTGTAGTCCCTACTGCCATCTGAAGTCCTGGAGACGGGATATCCCTGGGGATGTGAGGTGGCCAGGCCTAGCAATCACAACTCCATTTAAGAGAAATAAAAACCTCACACTTTCCTCAGGTGTTGAACTCTGTCTTAAGTCAGCAGCTGTGAAATCTGTGAAGCTTAAGGCTCATCGCCATCTTAAGAGAGCTGTGGAGATCTCCCTTTTCCCTCTGAAACTGTCCTGTGGTAGGTAGAAAGAGGCTGAGACTGCGATATGGACTCCCACCAAGCAGCTCCGTTATCTTGGACAAATCACTTAAAATCTCTGGATCTTAATTTCTTTATTCATAAACCGTTAGAGTTGGAAAAGTACATGATTCTGTATTAGGAGGTCTATACTTCATGGAGTTCTCTCAGCTATTGGGATTGCGTTGGTATGAAAACCAGGGTCTAAGAACCGGAATCCAAAGTTTTACAGAGCTTAGAGGAATTTGTACATTTTTTTTTCCTTTTCTTTTTCTCTGCACTTTCATGCGTTTCTACTTCTTGCTTCCAACTGAGAGAATCAATTCTATGACCACATAAAAGCCTCCTCAGGCCCAATATCTTAGGCTACTTTGGTAGTTCATAAAAGACGACTGAAGTTTTAGCTCTGTCTACACGAAACTCCCAGGCCAGACTGGAACTGAATGTTCTAATTTGTATTGGATTATTTGCCAAGCAAATATGAAGCTCTTTTGATGTAAACAGGAATATTCACACCAACATGGTCCTAGCAGCAGGCAGGCAGACCAGATCCAACTTGGATCCCTCCTGCTTCCAGTAGCTCTACATTGCTATTGATGTAAGTTAGTCCAGCTTGATCCCTGGGATGTTCGAGGTTCGCCATCATTGGTTTTCAGTGTATTGTGTCAAAGGCCAGGGCTGCAAGATGCCTGACTTTCTGAAAAAGAATGAAATCTGAAAAAGGCTCTGTCTGCGTCTTAGAATGTTTAGAATGTTTTTAAGCATGAGGTAAAGATGGGCAGAAGCCTGGAATTATAGTCAGAGAATCAATCAGTGTTTATTGAGAACCTATTGTAGGTGTTGGGTATATAGCACTGATAATGTTTCTTGAAGTTCTATTTTTGCCCTTTTCAAGTTTTCCCAAAGAGTCTAGATTTTCAATGAATTTTCTCAAGCACACAGGTTACTGTTCTACCTTCATAAAGGTTGAGGAAAGGAAAGCAGCTTTCCTTTCTAGAATTTCCAAGAGCTTCTTACAAGGATTTCC